ATATTAGATTAAATTAAATTTTTTGAATTATAAAAGTAACAAAAAATATTAATTACAACTACCCCTCTAAGTTATGAAAACATATATTATGATCATTGATATTACGTAACTGTTAATGAAAAAAAAATTCATGGAAAACATTTTTTTAAGTTTTCCCAGAAACTGATACATATATTGAAGTAATATTTTACAGGTATATGCACTCAGTAAAACCATTTAACAAAAAAATTGACACCTGAAATTTCCGCTGGGGCCACTACCCGATACTTACACCGCCATGCTCTTTTAGAAAAAAAAAACGATATACTACAAGAATTTTAAAATTATTTTGTTATTATTGATACGTATATTCTTTTTATTATTGAAAGTTTACGACAAAAAAAAGAATTAAGTATAAAAATCCATTTACATATGTAAAAAAATTAATAAAAAAAAACCGAATACAATGTCTAATAGTTTGGTTATATTTTCTTGCATAAAAAAAAATGCATGTTGAGTTTGGACGGGTTCAACTGGTAGATATCGTTTATTGAATTACGTGTTATTTTACAATTAGAAGGTAAACGGGATATTGTAACGTGTATGTATTTGCACTGACGATGAACGTAATATTTGAATAAATTATTAGCGTATTACCAACGACTGTAACATTTATTTAAAGTTTGCAGTTGGTGCAATATTGCTCTTTATTGACTGTTTACTTCTCTAACGACAAGATTATAATTTCATGTGATTATTCCCATAATATTCTCATAAGTACGTATACGTATACGTGCAAGGCCAAGTTCAAGACGGTTTTCAAAATTTTTTTATAGAACATTAAAAATATTATTTGTTGTGATGGAATTTAATTTATTTTTGTCAAAGATACAAAATAAAACAATGCCCCTTCCCATTAAAAAAATTAGTTGACTCATCATGTAGAAATTAGTATATAAACTTAAAATTATTTTATTTAAATAAATTCTACAACTTAGTATATAGCCATAATTTCTCCCCAAGACATTTTGAGTAGGTATGTATTATAGAGGGATCTTTGTGGAGGGTTGATTTTATAAATAATAAATTTAGGTGTATCAGATTGGTGTAAGAAAGGACTGTATATTGTGTGTACTTGAATAAGAACACCCTGTGAGTTCATTAGATTGTCTTTTCCGTTCTAGTGAATGTAAGGTGTACAAAATGTTCTTTAAATCTAACGTTAAGTGCTACACGACTCTGGCCTATGTACTGTTTTGTTGTTGTTAAATATAATTCTTTATTTGGAAAAGTAAAGTTGGTACCCTGTATTGTATAGATTGCTTGCAGCTTGTAAAATGCATTTTTTGCATAATTTTGGATTATTATATTTTAATTAATCGTAAATAAGTATCTGCCCAACCTTTTTCCTTTTTTTTTGTAAGCATTTTTCGTTAGTAACATTTTCAGAATGATGCATCCCAATTTCTGAATTACGCCGTATTTTCAATTAGCCACAGCATTTATTTATTATCCGTTGCAGTACAAAATAAGTATTTGGCACTAGATTGAACATTCATGTACACAAACATGATGCATAACTCCATCTTATGCTTCTGATGTGACTACCAAAATATTGTAAATAACAGAAGTTATTGCGTTTTGGAAATTTTCTTTGTCTAACTTATTTGTAACAACAATTCCCAAAATCGAATTTAATTATTTTTTTAAATTCTTTTATTATGTAACAATTATATTAAGTGGTTTCATTTTGCTGGATGGGTCAATTTACCTACTAAAATAAAATTGACTACAGAATAGTCTAAAATCTACATATATGAAATTGAATATTTTTTATGATGTTTCGACTCTAGTATTATTGAAGTACATACAGTTTATTAAGTACTTACGTAATAATAAAGACAATCAAAGAAAATAATGATAGAAATTGTTTCACCAAATTTTGTATTAGGTAAATATTGAAGATGCATTTAACAAGTTGTAGGTAAACTATTAAATTCACATTAAAATCGTCTTCCAAACCAAAAGTAAATCAATGTATTTTGCGTCTACTAATGTGTTTCGAAAAGAAAAATTAATTTCCGATTCCCTGGTCAACTTTATCTCACAACCAGTTCTTATTTCTATATTTAGCCTTATTTCAGGGAAATGACATATAAATTGGTCCAGCCGATACAATTTCAATTGTAATTCAGTCAATTTCCTTGGTAGTTCAGCGACTCTTTTTTGATCAGTGTGGGTAGATAGATAAATGTTACATTTCCATTCACAGCATGTAATAAACTATTGATATAAATTATAAATACACATTCTAATCGTTTTAGTAGCTCTTTTGGAGGTCTTGTTTGTACATATGTCTACCTAGATAATCACTTCCAGACTTTCTCATTGGGGAATTTAAATGATCAATTCAGTTACAGTATTTTATGGAAAAATTATTGAAAATAAGCCTTTAATTTTTATACGTAGATAAAAAATTATGTAACATTAAATCCAGTACAATATATCATATTATTTCCTGATTTTAATTTTTGTTTCAATATATTTAAAAAAGGGATCGAAATTTTGAATTGCCGCAGTTACATTTCCTGATAATCCGGACCACGATTTATTATTATTATTTGTTAAATGTTTTATGAATATGTAGGTATCATATTTTCTCATTTATCTAGGTATATTTTTTTTATAATAATATGTATAATGAAACTGGTTTTATATTGTTAGTAAATATTTTTCAAAAATTGTACCTAACAGTCGTCCATCTTTCTTACCAATAATTTTTTTTTCTGAACAATATGCATAGATATTTGCAAAATGCATTTTTGATTGCAAAATTGCATTAGTGTTTATTATGTAAGTATCTACGTATTATGTACTTATTATTTAAATTTTAACGTATTAACATAGTAAAATGTCAGTTTATTGAGACATTTATAACTATGTATTCTTTTTTATGTGCAGTATTCAAATGAGAAGTCAGTTAGTTATGTAACACAAAAGTAAATTAAAATATTTACTGTCACCAGTTATGTTAGAATTAAAAAATAATTCGAGTTGAAGAAAATTTTCGCTTTATGAACACGTTTTTCAATTATTGTTTCGAAGACATTGTTTCTACGTCTATTACTGTTGCTGAACCCACCTTAACCCGTATTATAACTTCTGATCATGTCGCAAGGTAATAGAAGTACTTCGTTCGTGTTGTCTTTTTCTACCGTAACCTTATGATCCCAACCTAGCCACTTTTTTTGCTGTTTTTTATAATGTAATATTGAGTGCCTTACTATTAGAAAGAATTTATGGTAGTCAATTGCTTTTTTCCAAAGAAGATTAATAGAAATTCGAAGTAAAGAGATAACCGAGACATATTCTTCTCTTTATGTCTTAAGTGGAAACTTGTTAATGTTTAAGTAATTAACTAACAAAATAATTGTATAATTGAAGCGTACATGAAATACATTACAATACAATTTAAAGCAATTTTACAATTAATTGCATTAAATTCATTTTGATTGTTAAATGTGTTATATTCAGATTTTTAATGAATCGATTACTGCTGCGTTGAAACCATTAATTAGATACCTATTACAAACTTTAGTTAATTAAATTATTGTGTATGTATGGTGAGAACGCACGACCATTTTTTATCGTTCTTGCGTGAAAATGTTTTATTTTATTATGACCTTTTAAAGGTCCTTCATAAATTCTAAAAATTGGAAAACCCAAAACAATCAATTTTTCTTTTTATTTTTTGTTTATCTTTTCTCATAAGGACTGACGATCTTATGATGATGATATCTTTTCTCGTTGCAGTGGATCTAAATTCTAAATTAAAATTAAAAATTTCTTAATTCTTAACAATTAATATTTTGAACTAAAATTCTGAAAAAAATGCTGATAATTTTGCACTGGAAGAACGCATACTGTAATAAAGAAAAAAATAATTTGGAAATAGTTGATTTTTACTAATTTTCCAATTCATGAGCGATCCCTAAATGATAGTGTTTAATCATGCTAATTTTTAGAGATAAACTAATAGACCTTTAAGAAAAATGATAAAAAATAGGATCTTTCTTGTACCTATGAGAATATTTTTTTTTAATTTTTCGTTTGTTTGAACGTTTAGAAATATTTTATTGTTAAATGACGGTAGGTATATTAATTAGCATATGTATATGATTACAAAAATTTGAAATGCATAATCGTTGGTGTAATACGATTAAGCGACGCGTTAGTTCATCGAACTATCTTTCGACAAACAGGCGTCTGTGTCTATTTTGGCATATAATAAGAGACGACATAATACAATTGCAATTTCATAATTAAGAAATTACGATAATTAGTACTAAAAAGTTCTTGCCAAAAAGTTGAAAAAACATACATTAAGGGGACGAAGTAATTTGCCATAAAAATACTCTTTATTAGAAAAAATCCGATTATTGTTTATTATATTCGTCATCCTAGATCTTACCTGAAAAATGTAAAGTCACAACTTTTTTTTCGGTAAAACTTCAGCAAATTATTTTTTTTTATCAAAGAAATCTTGCTATTGCTTGTACGTATTTTAGTTCTGTTAAAAAAATTTGTAAAGATCACCGCTTAACACATTCACATACACACACTTAAATATATACACTTGAATTAAGGGATACAGCAGGCAGCAGAACTGAAATTAGAATTCGAAACGAAACGGCTTCGTTCCAACTTTCTATAAAGCGCTTAAGTTCCCCCGTTTTTCGAATTTAACCAATCGCAAAGTTGGCTGAGAGGTACACCGTGACGTCAGAGACGAGCCCACGACGAGCCTCCTGCGATTAAAAGTAATACGTACATATTACAACAAAAAGAATGAACTCCCTTTCTTTGCCTGCCTCTTCAGTCTTCTTTCTTTTATTAATAGGTAGTCTAGGACGCTCCTTTATTATTACTGAGTGTCTATATCAGTACCTCACATCAATCTTGTAAAAAACATTCAAATACAAATACTCTTACATCATAGAGTACTTGAAATAAAATGCAAATACTTTATAAAGGCATTTGAAAACAAACAAATGCTTCAATAATCTTCTAAACAATTCATTCATAGTCATATATTCTTTTGAGTTTATTGTTTATTAATGGTGTACATATAGATAGAAAAATATATTTAAATAGAAATAATAAATACTTTCATTGAATGTATCTCAAATACAATTACACATAGAATAGGGGTGTTTGATTAAGGTGCCTATTTTAAATACTTATTTACACACAATTCGTTCAAATCCTCACACTCATTAGTAAATTTTTAAACTAGACAATGCTTTATTGTAATGTTGTGCGTTTATACATACATTTATCTCAAAATAAGTTAGGAGAAAACAAATGTTTTCATTTTACAATTTCTATAAATAAAACCTATCTTTATTTCTTTATCAAATATTTATAAATGCATTAATTATTAGAAATTGGTATAAGTATTTAAAATATGCTGTTAGTGTCATAGTTAGCGTAATTGAACGCACCTATAAAACATATTATTGTCTATGTATCATAAGTGTAGAAAGGATTTTTATCTATAGGTCTTCCACCGATTTCATTCTTATCAACTTATCTATGATTTCATCTTGTGATATATGGATACCTAGTCTAGGGATATGTCATTGTCTTCGGTCTTCGACTTGTCTATGGGCTTCCAAAAGACGACGTACCATCGTTTCTGCTGTCGTTAAACGGAGACTATTTCTGAAGGTGTTTAATATTAAACCTTATTCAATTTTAATTTGATTATGTGGAATACGTTTATATTTAGTGATTGATGGGGTTCGATTACCATTGCTTAATTTTTTTTGGCGTGAACGACTTGGATGGCGTGCTGGTTTCGTGTTTCAACATGGGAGTTCCATCATCTTGGCATCTTGCCTGTCCTCAAATCTAGTGTGAATTTTGAGATTTTTAGTTTACTTGAGGTCGAATAATTAGGGTTTCGTAAGAATTTTTGAATTTTGGTAACAGTTTTAGACGATGATTGCCGATTTTTCATATTCATGTGACCACGTCGTGATGAATTGCTTTGGTTTTATAGCCAAAATATGTAAAATATTCAATATTATTTGGGTTTTAACAACTGTTTTTTCTTTTTGTACAATATAGAGCTTGCTGCGAGATAAATCCTTGGATTAGATGGACCTTGCTACTTAGAGATGTAACATTTCTGGTAGTCAGTTTAATTTGTTAATTTCAAGAATGCACCTAATGAGCTGGTCGCAAAATTCATAGGACTCAAGATGTTAATAATGGTAATTATCGTTTATAATAAAACAATAAAAAAACCTACTGAACATATAACTAACATTAAATTGTTTTAACAGGTTCCATTAAAACTTTATCAATGAAT